TCACTATGATCGATGGTCGTCCATGTGTATTGGTCAATTAGCTTCCGCGATTTATCTTTTCATTTCACCTTTATAAGTTATTTTTTGGTTTGCGATTAGAAAGACTCGAGCTAGACGTAAGTTTCAGCGGGCATTGCGCTCGAAGAAAAGAAGAGGCTAGAAGCCGAAGAGGCCCGGCAAACTGCTACGAAGAGGGTCACAACAAATGGCTTCTCATTTTCTGGATCATTTAAATGATTCCAGAGTATGGGAGGTCATTCTTGTTACTACTTTGTCACTATGCTCTTTTAGTATTTGTAGTTGTATTTTTTTTCCTTCTCCATCATCGTTTATCTTCGTTTTGGGCAAATCGCGTTCTTTTTTGTTAGTATTGCGAGAGATTGATTACGGTTTACATTAAAGTTGCGAAAAAATGATAATCGTGTTTGTTTTAGAGTTGCGAATTATGATTTCGCGATAGTGAATTTTTAAAGTTGTCTTAGAGTTATACATAATAAAATTTATCTTGCTTCCTATTGTTTTGAATTAAATTGTAGAGTTATTGCTTTTAATTAATTTTAGAGTGTTAGAGTATTTAAAGTAGCTTTTCGTTCGTACAGTCTTGTATTGTTAATAATAATTTTCATTGAATTTAACATTAAAGTTAGTGTTGCGACATTATTTCGTCGTGATTTTCAGTTTTACTTTTACTCTTAGTGTTGCGGTAATGAATGATCGCGTTTATTGATGTAGCGTTGCGTTTACAAAATGCCCAAATTCTTCCACTGAATTCGTGGAAGGCTGTTCCTGTTCCTGGATCACCTGATGCAGCTACAAGAGCTGTACAGAAGTGGTTATTCATCAGCAACCTCTAGCATGGGCGCGTCGCAATTAGTGTTGCGCATTTTTGAACATGAGTGCATATTAATAACGTCGCGTACTTATTTTCGGGAGTTTTGAACATGACGAAGCACTCTTCGCGTTGGATTTTGAAAATTTCCTATTTCACAATATTTATATTTATATTTCATTATTTATATTAGTGCTAGTGAATTAGTGTTGCGAAACAAGATACTCGGGTTTCTTGCTTCGGGTTCTTTTTTTTTTTTTTTGTCGGGACTGTTTTAGTGGTGTGGAATATTTGTGTTAAGTTTTTTTAAACTACTAATCCAACAAATAAGTTTGTTTCAGATTTATCACCTTCCAAATGCATGGATGAAAGAATAACATGGACCATAGAATAAAATGGACTATAGAATGTACAAGGAATCACGCCTGGGTTCTATCTAATGGTAATTAATATATCCTGTTAAATTTATTTCACAAATCTTTTTGACATTAACAAAGAAGATTGCACGTAGAGTACACTAAATATAGAAAATTCTATGAAATATCCAAAACAATATGCTCGTTACAAAAGTTAATGACTGCGATTTTGATGTTTGCGTAAATCCATTGTACATATCCATTAAATAAATAAAAAATACATAATATATAGTTTTGATATCTGGATAATTAATTTGTGAAATATTTCATACGAATTTGTATATTTTCTGTACAAAAATATTTCAGAAAGTTTAGGATTAATTATTTCTTCTACAATAATTATATTTGTAAATAAAAGGGATATTTTTTCTTCTTCTCTTTAATTTTTCGCAAATTATAAAATTTATTTAAGCTGATAAGTTTTTTGATGTTTTATTAAGAACTTCAGAACTTTAATTTACTACACGAAAAGGCATCGTAATACTGTTAATCATGGATATAGCTCTTTTTAGTATATAATAGAATGATTTCAGTTAGTTCCTAGTTTCACATTTCGGTATTGAAAATTTGACAGTACTGTAATGGATTTCAAAAATCTTATTTCTGGCGCATTCACTACATGAACAAATTCGTTACATGATGTAGTTCCCTAATTCTCCGTTATTTAAGTGTAGAGTGCGATAAAAAACCACTGATTTTTTAGTATGTCGGTATTTTAGGTCCCGAAATCTCTTAAGATGCTTGGACTATTCCAGGGCTGGGGCGAAATAATAAATATGAAATAGTAAATAGAATGTAAATATTTTTATTTTCTCATGTGTGTAATTATATACGGAAATAGTATTGTGAAATAAGTATTTCATTAAAATATAGGAAAATAATATTTCATCAAATAGTAATATACACAGAATAGTATTTGGAATAATGCTATTGCAATTAAGTATATATATATATATATATATATACGTATCTCGTTTATATCTTACATATACATATACACGTACTACGTTTATATCACGTACTGCGTTTATATCCCATATATACGTAACATGAATCTCGTTTATATTTTTTTCGCATCTTGGATGCACATACTACTCGTTCTTCTTCATCTTCTTCGTTCATTTTCTGTTTTCCCTAATTACCACTATACAACATTCACACACATACATACCAACCTTGGTTGCTGCTACATTCATAATATATCAACCTAACTGAATAGAAGATAGCAAGTGATAGTTGCGAAATATGTTTAGTTTTTAAATTTGCATGTCTTATTTTCAATATTTTCGACATTTGAATCCGAGTGAAATAGTATTTCCTCATGATTTGAACATTTAATGAAATAGTATTTAGCACTAAAGCACTAAATGAAGTAGTATTTCCAAATAGTATTTACTTATGCAAATATTTCAGTTTTATATCAAATCATTTCAAATTTTCTTCAGCCCTGGTCTATTCATATATGTACGTCGTCTGTGACTGAAACAACTGGTCTCCGTCGATACGGCGATCACCTATTCTATCAACTCTCAGTAATTCGCTTCAGAATTCAGCTGGCATAACTGATAATTTTTTCAAAACTGAAGAACTAAAAATTTCAGATTTAAATAATATTTAGTCACAGACAAGTTAAGCATAGAATGAAGGCTAAAAAGCTACTGATTTTTTTAGTATGTCGGTATTTCAGAGCAGGATACGAAATTTCATAAGATACTTGGCCTATTCATACCTTGTCTGTGACTTCTTCAAAACTAAAGTATTTAAAATTTTTTATTTAATTAATATTTAGTCGTATTTCATATCTGAAGAAATTGAAATTTAATTTTATCGATGGGTTTCAATTTCTAAGAATTGAAACTCTGATGGTATTGCAGACGGTGAAACACTTGATCGCTCTTTCTGTTTTATCAACATTATTGATCTTTTCACCATTTTTAATAATCGTTCAAAATATTTCCATTTGTTCGTAAGTAGTTAATATAAAATTTGCATCGGACGCAAATATAC